CGGTCTTTCTCGTGGAGTAGAACCTCTCAAGATTGCATCCAACTTCGCCTGTATTGCACACGAACTCTCGGCTTGACTCTTGCTCATTGTGTCCATTCTCCTTTCCAGGCTTCCTAATTGGCTGTTGACATCATCATATCGGTTCTTCAACTGTTGCATGTCTGTTTTGATGTTCTTTTCTCGTTCTTCATTGGTGGCTTCTACCTTATCTGACATTTCCTTGAGTCTCTCATCTGTTGCCTTAGCTAGGTTAAAATAACTGTCTAGATACTCGTGCTTGTTGTATCTTATCTCCTTTTTTATCACCTCTCTGTCTTCTTCACTGTGCTTAAGTCTTTTGTCAATCTGATTTAATTTCGCCAACAAGTCACCCAGCTCAATGGTAGTCTCTTCATGGTCAGCCGTCGGTCTCTCTTCGGCCGTAGCCTCTGCTTTAGCTTGTTCCTCTCTTGGATTGGCTTCTGAGGTCTTCGTGCTCACTGTCCCAAATGTTCGTGCTCTTTCTGCTTTTGGTTCTTCAGTCACGTTTTCTTTCGTTTTTATTCCGAACATTATTCCCAATTTTTCCGTAAAAGATGTCCTCTTTACTTGAGAGTCTTCTTTCACCGTTTCTTCGGTGTTGCCTATTGCATCTTCCGCGTCATCTATCGGTGAGAACTCTATGGGTTTCTGGTTCGGTTCCTCTGCATTGGGCATTGGAGTTGACTCTGTCGCCATCTTCCTTGTTTCATCCACACTTTGATCGGGTGTCTCTAGATCAATCTCGATGGTGGGTTCTACTCGCTCCCCTTCCGTGCCCTCTTTCGCCCTGTTCTCCGCTGTACTCCTTGTGCTGACCATGTTAACTGAAAAGTTCTTCTTCGTTATCTTTGGGCCCGTTGATGTCGTTCCGCGCAGCGATGAATTATATTTCGTGTTTGATCCACTTGACCTTTTTTCGAGCACCGGTACCCTACTCCGCCTCATTATTTCTATTTACAACTGCTTCTATTTACAATTTTATTATATACACGATTCTATTCTAAGGGTAAAAAAAAATATTTTTTGTGGTAACAAACTCTGTACAATGTGTTAAAAACCTTAACCAATTCTCTTTCTAAAACCTCCGAAAAATTTTCCTTAATTTGGTCTTAACCCTACCTATTTCGATTTGTCTTATTCTGTCTTAAAACGCACTTGTTGTAATTTGACTTCAATTTCTATACCGTCCCAAGACTATTCGTCACTATCACAGTACTCTCCGCTAGTGTCCTAAGACCCTTGTACCAAGACCACTGTTCCAAGACTACTGTCCCAAGACTAGTGTCCCAAGACTACTGTCCCAAGACTAGTGTCCCAAGGCTAGTGTCCCAAGACTACTGTCCCAAGACTAGTGTCCCAAGGGTAGTGTCCCAAGACCAGTGTCCCAAGGCTAGTGTCCCAAGACTACTGTCCCAAGACTAGTGTCCCAAGACTACTGTCCCAAGACTAGTGTCCCAAGGCTAGTGTCCCAAGACTACTGTCCCAAGACTAGTGTCCCAAGACTATTGTCCCAAGGCTAGTGTCCCAAGACTACTGTCCCAAGACTAGTGTCCCAAGGGTAGTGTCCCAAGACCAGTGTCCCAAGGCTGGTGTCCCAAGACTAGTGTCCCAAGACCACTGTCCCAAGACCACTGTCCCAAGACCCTGTCCCAAGACCCCTGTCCCAAGACCACTGTCCCAGGACCCCTGTCCCAAGACCCTGTCCCAAGACCACTGTCCCAAGACCCTGTCCCAAGACCCTGTCCCAAGACCCTGTCCCAAGACCACTGTCCCAAGACCACTGTCCCAAGACCCTGTCCCAAGACCACTGTCCCAAGACCCTGTCCCAAGACCCTGTCCCAAGACCACTGTCCCAAGACCACTGTCCCAAGACCCTGTCCCAAGACCACTGTCCCAAGACCCTGTCCCAAGACCACTGTCCCAAGACCCTGTCCCAAGACCCTGTCCCAAGACCCTGTCCCAAGACCACTGTCCCAAGACCACTGTCCCAAGACCCTGTCCCAAGACCACTGTCCCAAGACCACTGTCCCAAGACCACTGTCCCAAGACCCTGTCCCAAGACCACTGTCCCAAGACCCTGTCCCAAGACCACTGTCCCAAGACCCTGTCCCAAGACCACTGTCCCAAGACCCTGTCCCAAGACCACTATCCCAAGACTGCTCTGTCCCAAGACTTCTTCGGTCTTGTCCCAATACTCGTCACGGAGTGTCTTCCTCGTTGTAGGGTCTTCTTGAATCACCGAACCTTGTACCACCACTCAAGCTCTAGTAAAATTTTCCCAAAAACCCTCTCTTAAAAGCCAAATGCTGACCCCCCTCTTCTTTTTGGTTGTTTCTATTTCAATTAGGTGCGCAGGTATCTTGTGATCACCTGTTCGTATAAAACCAAACACAAATCCTCACTAAAATGCAACAAAAATCTAAGTAAGAAAAATAATAAAAACAGAAAAATGAGCCCACCTGAAATTCAAAGGTGACCAATGTCTACCTTCCGTCGAAAAAAAAATGTCTGGTACCTAATTGCCACGCGTTTTCCTCCCCCCACTAGTGATCTTATGGGGTTTCACAAAAGCTGTTTATATCCGGTCCCCCCTACCAAACCAACCAGCGTACCAGTCTTAACTCGAGTTGAATTTTGGATCTCCACCTAATATTACCAACGCGTGTTATTTTCTAATGTAACTAAGTCAACGATGTCGACTAATTAGTTACTCTAATTTCCCCCTTTTTACAATTTACAACCGCTCACCTCTAGCCTAACCAGTCCCCCTTCTAACCTCCCCCCTTTCTAGCCCCCCTTCTTAAGCCTAAAAATTACTTTAAGCGCCGGGTGCTAAACCTCTCAAGAGAAAACCGTAGACCTGTTTCCAGGTCTGCTCAAGTAAAAACGTTCCTCAAAACTGGGGGATTTCGCTTATCCAATTTTACACTTATCTCCTATAATGTAATGTGGATTCTAACGATACCCGTTCTGCCCACATTGAGAACTCGAGAATTGCTAAATCCTTCTTGGCTGCTTTCCCACTCGACTGGTCACCTGTTCCAGTCCAGTCTCCTATTGGTTCAGCTCAAGTGTCCCTGAACCACTTTCCCACTCGGCTGGTCACCTCTTCCAGTCAAGTCTCCTATTGGTTCAGCTCAAGTGTCCCTGAACCACTTTCCCACTCGGCTGGTCACCTCTTCCAGTCAAGTCTCCTATTGGTCCAGCTAAGTTCCAACCTATCTGAAAACCCTTGACAACGCCCCACACTCGGGCACTTTATTACGGTTACTGGGTTAAATTGCTAGGTTGATCGAAACGATCGAACTTATAAAACAGTATTGGTATACTATTTAATTAATACAAAGGTTTGATCCAACTGATCTGGTGTCAAAGTCACTGTCTTTTTTCGTTTTATGGTTTTTGTTCCTTTTTCTATTCTTTTTTGGTTTTTTGTTTTGCTTTTTGTCTTTTTGCTCGTGTTTTTGTCCCCCTAGTTGCCCCCCTTTACTCGGTTAGCTAAGCCTCGTTCGGAGAGCGTACCAGGAAATTTTCTCGAGTTTTCTTAAAAAGCTATCACGGTACAACCGGAAGGTTTGCACGTCCCTGTCGAACCGTACCACCGGTACTCTAGAATGGGCATTCAGCCCGAAGCTGTCTCAAGTGGGTTCGACTCCGTAGTCTTGATGTCGTAAACACCCAGGAGCGCCATAAAAACACTATGTAACATTCGTCTACTGCAGTCACACATGAGGCTTAAGAAAAATAGGCCCTATAACCACTGGCTCAAGGGTCAGGGACACTATCTCTTGTGTTTTTCTACCTCAAGAACGGTCGGAGCCAGTTCGGTTCGCTTGTGACATGAGACTACGACCCGTTACAGCTTAAAGGCTACTACTAAAATATCCACCCACTCTAGAATTAGAAACGTCCCCATACTTAGGTCTCTAGATACCCAAAATACATGAACGCCGTTAAAAACCGGGTTGGAACAATCCGTTAAGTTACTTTTTATTAGACAGTGGAACTTTGATCCATTTCAGATGGATCAACCTAAAACTCGCCTTACTTCAACATAACAATCATAAAACACACTCTAGAATTTAAATTTGTACTCACATAGTAGCACGCTCAAGAACCAGGAAGTAAATAAGTCGGTAAACAACTCAAGAATCAACAAAGTAACTAAAATGAGTTTAATGTCAGTCAGTTTTAACAACAAGAACAAGTTTTTACTCTAGACTGCAAGTTCTCGTGAACCATTGGGACACTCTAGCTGTCCACCTTTCCACCGAAGGTTCACTCTGGTCTAGTCAATAATGGTATTCCAATCGTAATAATCCAACTCGTGGGAATGCTCTCGTCTCTGTTTCAGATGGGACAGCTCTACTCTAGGTTATTATTGCTTTCGAAATTGCGAATAGCAATTTCCCACCGATTTTTCTAGCAACTTTCCCGCGATTGTTACTCAATTGTTCTGAAATTGTTCTGAAATTGTTCTGATCTCTTTTTCTGATTTTCAGTTCTCGCGAGAAAATCGTGCATGACAGGTTCCATTCGAAATTTTGAAAAATTAAATTTCACTCCAAAATCAAGTGTTTCTTGCTTCTCTCAAGGTCAAACTTCCAAATATGACCGACTGGCACAGGGGGTATATTGGTAGTTGCCTTTAAGCTGTAACTCGATTTAGTAGTCCCATGTGGTGAGCGAACCGATTTGGCTGCGACAGACAAAATACAAGAGGTAGTGTCCCTGACCCTTGAGCCAATGGTTAAAGGGCCTATTTTTCTTAACCACATATGTGACAAAAGCGGACGACTGTTACAGTCGTCCTATTAGAGAACCCGGTGCGACACCGCTTGAGAAGTGAACGAGAAGAGTAATGAGTGGAAAGAGAAAAGAAGGACAAATAGTCACCAAATGCAATAACTTCTTGACCAGTAAATGGACTGAGCTGATAATTTAAGTGTGTAAGAATGAATTACTGTTGGTTTTAGATGCAATGAGCGCAGCAATCCGCTCTTTTCGGAGTTCTTCGGCCGCAGCGTTGAGAAGTCGTTGGCGTGAAACTGGTTCTATTGTTAACAAGACAGCTTTGCAGGCAACCCTTGACAACGATAATCACGATGAAAGGAGCCGATTTTGGAAGGATGTTGTTAATTCAGAGGTACATTTAACTTGTTCATTTGATGAAACAATTATACCCTAACGTTTTTTGTTGACTGAGTAATCAAATTATGCAAAAGCTGTAAATTTATTTATCTTAAGATACAGAAATCATCAATTTAAGGAATACTGTTTTTTTTAAGCTAATGATACCTGAATACAATATTTCTGTGGCAGAAGAAAGAGAGATGGCTTTGAAGAGATTGAAGTTCTTCTGTGATAACAATTACATATCAGTATTCGATTTCCATAAAAACCCTCTGAAGGTGTTTATGGCGCATGAGTTAGCATCAGCCATTGACTCCTCAATGGCGACGAAGATGACAGTACAATTCAACCTTTTCGGGGGCACATTGCTAAAGCTAGGAACGGGGCGACATCAACAAGTAATCAAGGTTAGTTCAGTTATGTTGTTTTTGTTGGGCTCTTTTGTAGTCTCGCAAATTATCGAAATGCAAATATATGGTAAGAGTTAGAGCAAATATATGGTTGGGCTGAAAGTAAAGCGGTTGCCTTTGCACCCTAAGGTCTTGGGTTCGAGTTCCAGCCGGGCCGTCTTTTTTCTCAGTTTGTTTGAAAATGAAGAAAAAAATTCTGGGGAAAAATTGAATTGACAGATTTTCGTTTGTCTGCTTATTTTGTTGGCTTAATATCCAAGGCCTGGAATGTTTGTTCTAAATTAACCAATTATAATATAGTAAACAGTCGCCCTGTTGTTGTTAATTGAGTAACTGGGATTTTGAAATTGTTTGTTTTTTATTCAAATTTTTCATTGTTTCGCCTCATAATTTGATTGCTTGTTACCCTTGCGATAAGCAAGGCTATTAAAACCGGGTTCTAGACTTTTCCCTTTTAAATAAAACTTTCTCTTTGAAATAAAACTTTTCTGCTAGAATTGTTTTTGCAAATAAATTTTTTTCGGATGCATGGTTTCTGATTTTTTTTTGTTCTAATGTGCATGAAACTAGGTTTAGTTTTAATTAGTTAGGTGTATTTTAGGCTGAAGCAACTTTCTTTGAAATCGATTCTTGTAGATGGTTTAACGTATTGTTTCAATTTGTCAAAATAAATTTCAAAAAACTTAATAATTTCCAGATTTTTTTAAAGCAAATTTGACTCAACTTTGTTGTCTACAAAGGAATGTGGCGTCAAGTTCTGCACGAGATTTAGGCGTGTGGGTCTTTCTGGCTGAAATTGTAGAAAAACTTTTCATGTTTTTTTGTTTACATTTTTGGCGTTTTTTAAGTTTTTTTTGTTGTGATCTAGCTCTACCGTTGCATATAAATTTCAGAACTGATAATTCTTGAGGTGTATTATTTTTTTGAGGTGCAAGTTCTTTTTTGTGGCAATCGTTTTTGCAATATCGTTTGTTTTTCATCTTTGTTTCGTTTTGATCTTATACTATAGCGGGTAGGGCCTTTATCCCTGATTTTTCTTTTTGGATATGCAGATTGTTTGGCTGCTAGATTTAATGAACAGTTTTTGAGTACATTTCGGAATTATCATATCTCAGTTTTTGCCCGAAATGTTTTCTTATCGTTTACATTTACTGCTTATCAGAAAAAAATGGATGGAGATAAGCCCAAATCTTTTGTTTGCTTTGAAGGGAATTGATTTCTATAACTATTGCAGTAAAATTTTTTCTGATTGTTGGGCCTACGATTTCTTCAACAAAATTCATTCATAGTTTTCAATTTTTGTTTAAGACACATGGTTTGGATATTTGCAGCTTTTGCTGTGTATCGAAAGTGGCGCGAAGCTCAGTTTTGCCTGTGTTCAACTTATTTTGTTGTTTGGGAAGCGAAGTTCATTATGATACTGGATGTTTATTCAGTAATGTAGTAGAGTATGTAATACACCGTAACTGGCGGATGACGTGATACGCATATATTGTCATTTTTTGATAATACGAGCTGAGCTGTTTGAATGTTAATTATCGCTACTGACCATCAATTGCAATCAATTCGTGTTCATAATTCTAGATCTGTCTCGAGCGGTTAAGAGTTATCTTGGTGGTTGGCATTTTCCGTCACCCGCCCATACGAGCGCGCGCGAGTTCAATCCACTCCAAACGAGCAACCGCGAGTTTTTAACGTATTGCATTTGACGGATAAAAAACGCGGTTCTGGCAAACGTATCGCTATTTTTTCCTCGGTTTTTTCCATTGTGACTAGCTCGGGAAGTAGAGCAGACGATTTTTTTCCGATTCTTTTTCCATTCACTTCCCTGGGAGAAATCCCACTTTTTTCTGGGAAAAATGGTATTAATCAAGTTAAAACATGAAAATTTTATTTTTGTTTAAAACAACGGTCTGATGGTCTGGAAGATGTGCACAGCAATGCCAGGCGTGGGGTGCCTGGTTCGAGCCCCTGTGGAGACGAAAAAATTTTATCCATTTTTTTCATTTGGTATATAAAGAAAAACTAAAAACGTCATATCTTTTAAAGTAAAAAAGATAAGACATGCGGTCTTCGCTGTGATCGCTTATTTTACCAGCTGAAGGCTGTGAGTACAAGGTTTTGGTGGTGGATAATGATTACAGGAAAATTATTTTTTTTTCCTAGTTTTTCCCATTTGTGCCTTTTTTGGCTCCGTGTCGAAACAGGTCAATGTTGTTGTCTTGTATTTTGTACCAAACGGTCAGTGGATAGGCAGCTACCATAGTGGAAAGGAAAAAATTTTGATTAATAAACTACAGGTTGCAAATGGAGCCTCCGATTGAGGTAAAAAACTAATTTTTTCATTTTAATGCTTTGATCGATTTGAAATTTTTTTTGAAAATCTCGTTTAAAAACAATTTAACTGTTTTTGGGTGCTAGCAATTGGAAATGGCAATTGCCAGGGAGCAGGAAATATCAGGAAAGTCGCTCTTTTTTTAAAAAAAAAGTTTTTTTTTTCATTATTTTTTGAACAATTTTACTTCTTCAAAAAGTTCTTCTAAATGTAATACCTCATTTACTCCCGCAGTTTCCGCAGGGCTGCTGCGGAAACTGCCACAGGCAGCCACATGTACAGTATCCTCCTCTCACACTGTTTGTTGAACAATTTTTTGGCTTCAGTCTTAGTAATAGGCAACATTGCTCAGTGAGTTAGAGCGGTAGCCTCGAGATCCACATGTCTGGGGCTCGAACCCCGTTGTGGGCCGATCATATAAAATCTTTTTTTTTTTCAACAAGAATCAGATCAAAGTCACTGATTATGTGCAAATAGCCGAGAACCTAGGTTGCGCCTCGCGCCCTGACCCTGCTAGGTTTGAAGGATGCTCGTCTTGCTTCTAAGCTTCTGGAATATCGCTTGTCGATCGGCGCATATTAGAGCATGATTGGAATGATTAATTCAGTTGAGTTTATTCGGTTGATTTGCAGCGGTTGATTTTCAGCAACGATAGGCGGTTGCTGTGCAAGCAGCACAGAATGTTACGACCAGAGTCTTAAAAAATACTAAAAGGTTTTTCAAATTATAATCGTTGTTTCTGCGTGGTGTGATAAAAGGATCTGAACGAGAAACTAGAGCTCAGGCATATTCGACAATCAGCTGTTTGGAAAACATTTTTCTAGAAAAATGACTAGAGAAACGAAATACAAAAAGTTTCAATTTTCATTTTTGGCATTTTTCTGAATTATCGACTTTTTAACGAATTTTAACGCTTAAACTAAGCAATTTTAAGCTTTTAAGCTAATAAAATAAACGATTGTAAGCCTGCTCGCTCACTCGAAATTAAACGAACGGGTTTTTCTTGACACTGGGAAAATTAATTGAAAGATTTAGGTCGTTCGAATCACGACTAAAAGGGCTTTGAAATGATATATCACTCAACTCTCTTCAATGATGATTGTGGTAGCTGATTTTGCTTGGAAAACAAAGAAAAAAGCTAAAACACCCGATTACGAAGTTCCTCCCCTTTTTTCAAATGGTCGGCACAATAATTTAAAAGATGATTGGGCTCCAATTTATTATCAAGGTGAATTTATTATCAAAGTGGCAAATATGGAAAGCATGACATCATTCAAGGATGTCACAGTCTGAAAGTTATAAGGATTGAAATTTAGTCGGTCAAATGCATTTTTGTGTTCTTGGCTCAATGAGCGTCTACCCAAGTATTGTCGGCCTCTATTGTAGGAAAGTTTTTAAAGCTTATTTAATGCTGGTGTTTATTTTTCTTGGCGTTTTTTTTTTGAATTTGATTTGCTTCATTTTTTTTGAAAAGAATATGCTTGTTTTTAAAATATTTTCGACAGTTTTTTTCCTCCCATTTTTGTTCGCTTTTTGCAATGATAGGCTTGTTGTGTACCGCAAGTAATGCAAAGCTCCGCTTTGCGTGTGTGTTAAAAAGTAATTGCAGGAAATTATCGAAATGTATGTGGGAAACGGTCTTCCGTTGTTTGGGGTTACTCTAAAGCTGTCTTATGTGCAGGGAATCGACTCATTGAGCGACATCGGTTGTTTCGGACTGACTGAATTAGGATATGGTAACAATGCAGTAGAAATGGAGACAACAGCGACATACAACCAGGGACCTGGAACAATAACTGTAAATACTCCTTCTACCATGGCTCAGAAGTACTGGATCACTAATGGAGCTGTACATGCGCATCATTGTGTAGTGTTTGCCCAGTTGGTTGTCGATGGTGTCAATCAGGGAATACATGCCGTATTAGTTCCCATCAGGGACAAACAGTTGAACCCAATTCCAGGAGTCACAATTGAGGATATGGGTCACAAAATGGCAAGTTGAACTTAGAAGAACAAATCCCTCAAAACTTCATTTCGAAAAAAAATTGAAAAAATTATTTTCATTCAACCATTTGTAGATTTCGGAGTGGTTGGTTACACTGAAGCTACTAACATGGTCAGATTTTCGAGATTATCAGTATTGTTCCAATAATAGAGAACTCGTTGCAGGGCATGAACGGAGTTGACAATGCGAAGCTGACATTCCAAAATGTGGAAGTAGCTCAAGAGAACCTATTGAACAAGTATTCGGATATTTCTGCAGAAGGAGTTTTCTCAAGCGAGATTTCGAACGGCAGGAAAAGGTTTCTAACTGTGGCTGACCAATTGTTGTCTGGACGGCTGTGCATTGCATCTGGATCCATGATGGGATCAAAGGTGTCGCTGGCTATTGCTGTCAAGTATGCTGCAACGCGACTGGCCGTAGGAGCAACTGGAAAATCAGATGAACCAATTCTCTCATACCAGGTATGAAGTTTTTCAGTTCTGAAAATGTAGATGCATTTCTGTCTGCTCCTCAGCTACTATTAGTAGTATATAAATAAAATGGGTCCATGAATATTATGAGAATTAGAGAGTACTGCTTTTGTTCTTAATTATCGGCAAATGTACTCCATTTGCACTGTTTTTGTTCTCAGTGATTCCAAAGTACGCTAGACTTATGATGCTGTTTCATTTTTACTCTGTCAAGTTGAAGTTATGTCGGTTTTAGCTGCAGCAGAATGCGATTACCCCACTGGTGGCGAGAACAGTGGCTCTCAATATTGGACTGAATGCTGCGAAGAGCAACTGGTCCAATCAGTCGCTCTCAGGGGACTCCTCAAAGCACGCAGAGGTAAGCATCGCCTAATTTCATTTATCTACTTCATTACAAGTGTACCAATTCTCCATGCATATCAACTACATACTTCGGTTTGATTTGAAGGACTCGATAGCACTGGAAAACGAAAGTTGAAAGAACCAGCAACTAAAAAAGTAGCGAGTTAAACGTTAGTGTAATGCTGTTCTGCGAATAGAAAAGAAAGAAGCCATTTCAAGTGATAAAACAAAACAGAAGGCAGGAAATTGCATCATCAAAACGAAGTCTTTTGGTCCTAGACATACGAAATATTGGATAATTAAAAATGAAAACTGCTGGAAAGAGTAAGTTCGTTTTTATTGATATCGTAGGCTTTGCAAATGTAGTTTAAACATCAGTTATTAGTAGCCAAAGGTGTTCAAATAGTAGTAAAAACCAATGTTAAACTTTTTTTATTTGTTACTCTCTTTACCCTTGCGATAGGCAAGGCTATTGCAATCATGTGCTTGACTTTTCCCGTAAATAATTTTGTTCACAAGATCCATTGCATCTCTTGGACTCCTGCATTTTCTGACAGACTCAATTTCTTGAAAGCATGGGTTTTGTTCCAACTTATAAATTTTTTAAAACTATATCTGAAAGCTCACTATTTAGTAAGTTTTTTTCCATTTTTTCTCGGTGTTTTTTTTATCTTTAAAGAGTTTCAGTTTGTTTATACACAAGTAAAGCTTGTGTGATATTACGAACTCACTTTATTCCAGCCCAAGTCGCAAATGTTAGTGCTCTTTTTGAAAGTGCTCTTTTTTTGCAGTATATGCATAAGATCAATAACCAGCGATCAAGTACAGCAAATGCTATATTAACACACACTATTGTATTACTTTTCAGTTTTTCCCAGAAGCGTTATCGGTCATATTTTTGCTTGTGTATGCGAGAAGGGCAACTTCGCCTCTGTGAGTTATATTGGCTTATTCAATTTATGTTGGGTAATTTTGTAGGAAAATTATATCCGTATGCGATTAATTATGACAACAGTTTTGTTTTCGGCTCAAGAGGTTTCGATATAAAGTTTGGTGCCGCTCGGTAAATGATTAGCTAGGTTTAAATGATTTTAAAACCTAACTCACAAATAAATGTGTTCCCTTGTTTGGAAGTTTCTTTTCAGCATTGGAATTTGCATTGCATTTGTTTTCTGTTTTATTTGTGGCTAGTGTTTTGTGCCTATTAAGCTTCCCTGGCTGAGTGGTTAGTGTGTGAGACTCTTAATCTGTAGGCCGCAATTTTGAATCTCAGAGGTAGCCGAGTTTTTTCTAATTCGGGGCTTACTTCTAATTTTTATTATTGCACTGTATAAAGGGGCTTTTTGTCGTGTTCTCGCAAGTGTTTGCGAAGCGAAGCTTCGCCTCTGTTATATGAACTTTATCCGATACAAACACGAAATTTTTGTAGGTGTAGTTTTTTTAAAAAAAACTCTCAATTTATTTTTTTAAGTAATCTTTTCAACTTAATTTTTTCAGATTTTTTTTACTTCTGTTTTTTCCCATTCACTATCTTGTTGCGCAATCTTTATTTTACATCGCTCTGCTTTGCCTCTATGTTTAGGTTCTCCTTGTTGTGCTTAAGTCTTGATGATGCTTGTCAATTTACCTCGTTTTTTTTCAGCTGTATAGAAAGTCAGATTAACACCATTTATCTACGAAAGAGGACCAGCATACGAGCTGTTCAGCTCTCTATTGAGCATTGCTGTTGTACCCTTTTCTTTAAATCTACATGGATTTTTTTTTGTAATTTCTCTCGGCTGGGTATGTTGTCTTATTCGCAAGCAACGAGCACGGGTAATGGTGAGACTTGAACCACCGACCGTTTGACTGAGATGTGAAGACCTCAGCCACTTGGCCCTTGCTCTTGTAAATTAAAAAGATGATTGTGTGCAGATAGTGATGGAGTGCTGTGTGATGAAACCACTGGTCACTTGGAATCTGGAGGAGGTGGCCTCTGTGTCTCGCGAGAGGTGTGGGGGCCAGGGATATCTCTCCTGCAACCGATTCGGAGTCGCCATCGCATCTGCACACGCAGGAATGACGGCCGAAGGAGACAACGCAGTCCTTATGCAGAAGGTAAAAGTGACAAGAACAATAAATTCACGGCCCAAAACATTGAAAAACTTTGTAATAAATCAAGCGCTTCAGGTTAGAGTCGTCGTCTAAATCATTCGAAGAAGTTTCAATAGGCAGAAGCGCTGATTTGCTTTTAAATTGAGAAGAGCGAAAGAAGCTATAAAAAATGATTCGATGTCTAAATAGCATAACATAATTGCGTGTATAACAAAAAAAACTTTAAAACATGCACTTGGCTACGGTACTGAACCATCGAAGTTAGTTGATAGAGGATTAACATAATTATGTTACTGTTTTGTTCAGGTAGCAAAAGAGCGTCTATCTGAGTTCGCGAGAAACATGCGACCTCCCACAGCTCCCGAATGTACCTCAGACATCACAGCGACATCCTACCTCACATTTTTACTTCAGCAGCGAGAGTTCCTTCTTAACATGCAATTGGGCCAAGCTATGCAAAGTGTGTTCGGTGATAGGCAAGCTATGTTTAACACATGGATGTACAAGAGCTCGGATACGATTCAAAGCGCAGCTGTTGCTTACGGAGAACGAATTGTAGCTGAATGGTGTTTAGATACACTGCATAATAAAACAGAGAAAGATAATAAAGAAGTCATGGAGAAAATAATTTCCCTGTATTTGGTTCACTGCGTGAACATAAATCTCGACTTTTTCTTGATCAACAAGCTGCTTACAGTCGAACAGGGAGCTATGATGAAGAGTTCTCAAAGTGAATTAGTGAAATGGATTTCGCCTCATTTGATGGATATTGTTGACAGTTTCGGAATCCCCGACCAGTTGTTGTTTGCCCCAATTGCAAATGAGTGGGAGACTTTTAACGCTGGTGACAACCAGGGAGAAATCCACGGAAACTCTTATTTCTGAGTAACTTGTAAATATTGCAAGTGATATGTTTTTTAAATGCAATATTTCAACATGTGGCATTTCATAGATTTCATGAGCTGTTGATAAAATGAGAGTAGTCTTGTATATAGTAAATACTCAGTTTAACAGTAAATTAAGAAAAATTTAAGAAAAAACAATCACGAGGTGTAAAACACCTTACGTTATTGGTTTATAATAGTGCTGATTTAAATTAATCGGACAAAACGAGCTAAACTTGAAATTTAAAATGCGTTTTTCTCAAATTGGGTTGAGTTTAGGTGAAAACTTATGAAGATAAAACTTGCTTACAATTTTAGCAGAATTAATATGGTGTAATTTGTTTTGCGAAATTCAGGCCCAAAATTTTACCACAAAAATGGGTCATTTTGGCTTTTCTTAGTTAATCAAAAATTACGCCAAAAATACCCAGTCGGTCACAGACATAAGTATATTAAAGTGAGCCCCTTACGTAGCCCAACAAACTTTAAGAAGGGTATATTCTCCAAAACATTGTATAAGTTGATTTATTTTGTTTGATAAACAAAAAAGATCGTTTTTACTATATAAAATATTAACTTTTATTTAAAAACAGTTTTTAAACGGTTTGCAAATTTTTTTGGAGAGTCTACCTTTCTTAAAGTTTGTTGGGCTACGTAGGAAGCTCACTTTGATATGATTATGTCTGCAATCGACTGGGTATTTTTGGCGTAATTTTTTATTAACTAAGAAAAGCCAAATGACCCATTTTCGTGGTAAAATTTTGGGCCCGAATTTCGCAAAACATTACACCATATTAATTCTGCTAAAATTGTAAGCAAATTTTATTCTCATAAGTTTTCACCTAAACTCAACCCAGTTTGAGGAAAACGCGTTTTAAATTTCAAGTTTATCGCGTTTTGTCCGGTTAATTTAAATCAGCACTGTAGTCGCATTTACGAAATGAATGTTATGGCTCCCAATTTAGTCATTGATAGGCCTGACTCTATTCGAAGTAAGAATACTGCTATACATTTTTGCTTCAATATACTAATTCGTTCTTGATTTCAGATCAAGTTTGAGTCGCTCAGAACAACAAAATGACTTCGATGTTGAAAAAGAAAACCGACCCGACCGCGTTCGAGCTCGAAATTGCCAAAATCTTTGAGAAGACGGAACTTGGTCTAGGTGCATTGTACTTCAACTCGGCTAAGGAAATCGAACTAGCAGAGGGCAAAAAGGTTGTAGTAATATATTTCCCCATGCCCTTGATTGACGACTGGAGGAAAGTACTGACCAAAGTTGTGAACGAGTTGGAAAAGAAGCTTCAAGGTCGGTCGGTGTTCTTTGTGGGAAACAGGACTATTCTAAAGAAGGAAAAGCGAGGCAAGTAGTTCAACATCTAATGCATTGTATAGAATTCAAAACCCGACTTGAGCCTGTTTTTTAACCCGCGTTTTTATTACGTTTTTACACAAGTAAAGCTTGTGGTATAGTATGAACTCTTTTTTTCCTGCCTAAGTCGACAAAATGTGTTAATTTAGATCAATAACCATCTATTAAGTACAGCCAATGCTAAGGATATTATCACAGACTTGTGTATTACTAGTAGCACTTTAGCTTCAAGGTATCATGGATATGTAGCGTAGAGGTAGGGAAGGAGACTCGCAACAAAACAAGAGGGTTCGAACCTGGGCAGAGTCGGATGTTTTAAATGAACTTTTTCGCATGATAGCTAAAATGCGATCGCTCTATAAATTGAGGCATGTTAGTTGGTAAATTTCTTTTTTTTTTTCAAATTGACAGTACCGTTAATGTGTCATAATTGGCGTGCGTCACTGAGCAACTATGTAGACTCATAATTGGCGTGCGTCTCTTAAGAAATTTTGTAGACTTGAAGTTTTACTGGTTCAGTTTTTCCCAGAAGCGTTATCGGTCATATTTTTGGTTGTGTATGCGAATTGCCACTTCGCCTCTGTGTTTAAATGCTTATTTCATTTGCGAGAACAAGTGACCTATAATCGGTAAGAAGGCTTTTTTCCCGTGATTTTTTTTTATACTTTCTGCTGCTCAATTGCTGCTGCTCAGACATACTAAGTTTCCTGAAAAATCTAATAAAACTACTTCTTAGTTCTTTTGAGGTAGTAATTAATTGTAATTAAGTTTTAAAATATATTTATTAAACAAATGTTGATTTTTTCGGATTTTAGATTTTTGTCGGCTGTTTTTTTTCACATGCAATTTGTATTATCTGGTTTGTTTTTCAAGCATATTCTTTGCATAGCTTAGGTTTTATGATTCAAATGGTCTTTTCTAATTTGATAAAAACATGTATTATGAAAATGGACGGGATTTAATGTTTATTTTTTTTTTGAGACTGGATATATATATTTTTACTTTTCACCAAAACTTTGCTGTTCTCTTAAACTATTTTTGCGATTTGCAAAAAGTGGTAGCAATGGAAATAAGGCTCAGCCGAATCTGATAAGATATGAAGTGTTTAATGGAGGCATGAGGAGGTTGTGGGAAGCCAAGCCTCTGTGCATTCTGCTTATGCACTGAGGCTTACCAAAAACCCATGCCTCCTTTGAGCCCCTTTATGAAACAAACGAGGCATGAGCTACAATTTGAATGAGCCTACTAAATTCACAATCACTTACTCTATTAGAAACAACTAAGCTTTTGTGTGAAGTGAAGCAACAACCAATTTCACAATTTAAAATTGTTTCGTACTTTTTAAATTTACCAGCTCTCATTTCGAATAATTTTTTCCGTTAAACGGGTTCAGCTTAGCTTATATCGGCTTAGTCAAGTTATCTTGCGTAGTTTCACAGGTGGATGGATTGTAAACATTTTGATTTAAAAATTTTATTGCATGAAACTTTTTTATGACTAATTTCCTTTTCGGCTCGAGGATCGACCCAAATTTAACGCCCTAGTTTTCGCTCGGTCATTGATTCTCAATGCTTGCTAAGTCTGTTTGTGAGCGTCACACGAGACAAACGTATCAAGTTTTGTAGATATCGTCTTTTCGATTTAATTTCTAGTAATTTTTTCAGCTTAATAAAAAAAATTACTTCCTGTAATGCAATATTTTAATTGTATGGCAAGTGTTGCGAAGCTCCCTCTCGCCTCTGATTTACTGAATCTGAAGTTCAATGATAAGCGTTCAGTGATATAGGTCCGGATTTAGCTCGTGACATGATCTCAATTTTTGTTGATTGATGTTAAAACTTTTTTTACTGCCCATTTGATTTTGAGTAAGTGGCGATCGGACAAAACACTCTCATCGAAATAAATCAATCATACTTGCTTTGAAATTGACTTTTGTTGATTTATTCAGGTTTGAGCTTATTGTTTCAGGTATGTTCAAGCCCAAAGGTCTGCAGAAGAGACCGAGGAACCGCACTCTGTTCGCAGTTTACGATGAGATCCTTGCCGACCTCGTCCGTCCAGCACTGATTGTTGGAAAGAGGACAAACTACACTCCTGCCGGAACCTACATCAAGGTAGAATAAGTCTTTCATTCTTCTCTTCATAAACAACTGCACTTTTCTTTGTTCCTTTTCAAAGTAAAAGGTCTACATTTATAAAAGTTTATAATAGTTAGTCTAAAAGGGTTGTCAATTCAAATAAACCCTGTAACATTAACGGTTTTGTCTTTTTTATGATATGGTCCATTTCGTCTATTTTATTCAAAATCCTTGTCTTTGCATAGTTGCACTCTTCGTATTAGTTCAATACTGCCTTCGTATATTCATTTGATTGATGAGTTTTTAATTGAATAAATTGTATTCATTTGTAAAAGTAGATAAATTCTGTTTAAGACTCAATGAACGTAGTGAAAACTCTTTTATAGCTCGATAGTTTTTCCAGGTATTTTTCCTGTTGTTTTTTTTTTCAAGAAAAAGTCTTAAAATTTGTTCAGCAGGCTCAAATTTATTTTCTCGCGATTTGACTTTGGATTTTTTAAGTTCAGTTCATTTCCTTTGTTGCTAAAAGGAAGGCAAAGCAACTATCAAACAGCAGAAGTGTAAAGGTCACGAAAAACGTGATCGACTTCTAGCTTCGAGAGTGGATTTCTGATTTTTTTTGCAGGTGTTCGTGAGCAAGCAGCACCAGAATGCACTGGAGAGCAAAGTGGAGACCATCTCGGCACTCTACAAGAAGCTCACCAACCGCACTGTGTACTTTTCATTCGATAACTAGAATTCAAGTTGACGAATGATCGATCCAATTCTCTTTTCACTCTTCAGTTTATGAGAGACAAATTGTAGCTTGTGGGTTTGTGAGAGACAAATAGGATCCTAAATAGCTGAGTTCCTGAGATATAAATAAGACCTTACCAGGTTGTGTTAAAGAGGTTATGTTCATGACCCTATTGTAACAGAGGAGTACCTGGGAACTATTCTGTTTCAATCTTTAAATAGTTGCTTCTGAGATTATTTTTTTAGGGGGGGGGGTGGATTTTCTTATATAATTCCCTTAATAGTTCTGCGCCCTTGGCAGATTTTTGAGGCGATTGGCGACAAAAGCTTATTTATACAATTTTTGTTTGCACATGGGCGTAGTGTCATAATACGAAGTTCACTTTTTCCTGCCCAAGTCACAAATGAAATTGCTCGTTCATTTAGTGGCACTTTTGCAGCTATAGCATTAGATCTGGTTCACTTTTATTGCATTTTACATTTCGTATGTTTTTTTTGTTAGCTGCGCAACAAAAATGAAAATGGTGCGAGAAATGTACTGATCGGCGGAGTGTACTAAATTGCTGCTCCGAAGTCTAAAATGCCGCTGACTGTAGTGCAAAATGCAATGACAACTGCAAAATGTAAAAAGTCGCTGTGCACAATTTTTAGAGCAAATTCGAATTTTAAAAGTTTGAACATAAATATTTTTTAATGTTTCCTCTGGCTAAAATATCGTAGCGTTTTTATTACGTATTTTTCACCTTTCGCCTGTCTTTTCCGCTGTCTTTTAGGTTGTTTTTTTACTGGCCATTTTTTGAAAAAAGGTCGAATGTGCCCAATTTTCTATCACTATCGGATAAGAATATGCCTCGTTCACAAGCGTTCGTTCACATCTCAGCAGACGACGAAACAATTTGGAAACACAGAAACTTTCTATTTAGTTTTTTTTTTTGCAATTGTGGTTGGAAACTGTTGTGTAATTTGTACAGCAAACGGCTATCTAGTGCTTGATATTTTGTGAAGTGTTGGGAGTTTGGCATTTCGAAGAATCGATAGACAACTCAGTATCAATTTTTTGGCTAAATAACACTGGTTTTCTCAGCCTACTTACCTTTTGTGATGTAGGTGTCAACTGTCTTAGGAACAGCAGTGCATATGTGCTGAATGATGTCTGAAAAAGTTTTGCAAAGAAAGTGGAAAAGAAAATTTTGCAAAGACTTGAAAACGATTTTTTCTCAAGCTTTTTCCGGTAAACCAAAGTTCGAGTTTGTATTTACAGATAATTGCCAAATCTTGTAAACAAGCTTGTGTATATATTTTTTGTATCTATGCTCAAATAGGGTTGGTTTTATTACACTTGCTTTAGTACGAACCTTCTTTTTTTCAACCTAAGTTGCAAATATTGGTGCGGCACTTTCATGGTGCAGCACCCCAATAATGGTGGGGCACCTTAACAGCTTTTTGATAGTATGTGCTTTGAGGTTCGAATAGTAGTATGAAAACACAGTTGATGCATTTTTAATTCGTCAAATGAATCGAAAAAAGCGATTTGTTTCAAACAACATAACAATAATGAAAACTCAATTTCAGAAATTTTCCAACTCAATATATCTCACAATTTTTTGAAATGCATAGTTTATACATAATGTGGCTTTGTGCTTTGCAATTTTTACCTGCAAAAATAGTGTGGATGCCTTCAGTTTGTTATCATCAAAATTGTTACATGCAAAATTGAGTCTATTAGTATTTGGTTCCAATTTTACTGAATCGCATTGGGAAGATATTAAAATATGTAGCTGCTTTGTTCGTGACTAGTGTTTGTCGATTGTTAAGCTTGCGTGGATAGTGTTGATAGTGCATGAGACTCAAAATCTCTCGATTGCAGTAGGTAGCAGATTCGAATCCTACATGTAACCGAGTTTTTGCGAATTCGAGGCATCCTTCTACTTTTTCGTATTTCACTTGATGGAACTTCTTTTTGGTCGTGTTCTTGAAAGTGTTTGCGAAGCACAGCTTCGCCTCTGTGTTACACTTGCGAAGCGAGTGTATTAGTACGATTTTTTTTCAACCAAGTCGCAAATAAAAATGCTATTTTTGGTGGCAATTTTGAATCGATAGGCTGCGGTAGCAGTACAATGCCATATGTGCTTTAACATTTGATAGGTAAAAAATTATAGGCACAATTTGATTGGCACAATATGTTGCATGCAAAATTGTATCTTTTTGTATTCGGTGCTCCTTTTGCGGTATCGAATTTGCAATTTAGTAGCTAATGTAGATTGAGAATTAATGGCTAGTTTTTGGGGAATTCAAGCATCCCTGGTTAAGTGGTTATGCGTGAGACTAAACGTTGCATGGTCGCAGATTCTACACAAAGCCGAGTTTTTACTAATTCGAGGCTTTTTCCACTTTTTCTTTTTTCACTTGATAGAGCTGCTTTTTGGTCGTGTTCTCGCAAGTGTTAGCGAAGCGCAGCTTCGCCTTGTGTTACACTTGCGAAGCCAGTGTATTAGCACGAACATTCCTTTTTCCAACCTAATTCGCAAATAAAAACGCTACTTTTGGTGGCACTTTTGAATCGGTAGGCTGCGGTGGCTGTATAATGTCATATGGGCTTTAACATTTGATAGGTAAAAAGTTAACTCAGTTGATCCCGCTTTAATTCATCACATGAACCGAAAAAACTTAATTGTTTCAAACGGCAGTACAATGATAAAAGGCTTGGTTTCAGAAATTTTCCAACTTAATGTATCTCGCAACTTTTTCGAAATGCACAATTTTTACATAATTTGGCTTTATGCTTTCTAATTTCCAGTTATAACTCCGGCCGACTTTAGTTGTAATCAGGGGCGGATCTAGGATTTTCTCGAGGGGTGGGGGAGCGGAATTTCGAAAATGTTCGAAAGTTTAGTCGACCTTTTTTTTTTAGCTCGACCAAATTGATTTTGAAAAAACAGGTCAAAAAAGCGTTTTTAGGCACTGGAAATTTTTGACCAATAAAGCGCGTTTTTTTTCGGCGCGCGCTCCCCTCTGAAAATCAGTATGTTTTCAGGTTCGGTAACATTTTTCTGACAATCGTCCGTCTGTTTATTTTCGTCGGATTAGTTCCCATATCCCGACTTTTTTTCAGATTCGGCTTTTTCCCAAGTTTCTGTAACAACCATGCTTGAGACCAAAAAGTCCGGGAGTTTGATTCCAGTCAAGACCTGTTTTCTTTCGGAAACTGAAACGTTTCGTTTAATTTAGATTATTGCCGGTCTGCTCATTTTTGTAGGCTTAGTTTCGCTCAAAGAACTTTTTGATTAGTCGGCTTCATTCTATCATTACAAAAGCTCCTTGTATAGTTTTCATTGAAATAGGTATTTTGTGCTTTTTTTGCAAATTTATTTTTTCGCGGTTTGACTTTTGATTTCTTTACAAGTTCGGTTCATTTCCTTTGGTGAAAGGAACGCAAACTCCACTATTGAACAGCGAAAGTGTAAAGGTCACGAAAATTTTCATCGAATTTGCAATTTAGTAGCTAATGTAGATTGAGAATTAATGGCTAGTTTTTGGGGAATTCAAGCATCCCTGGTTAAGTGGTTATGCGTGAGACTAAACGTTGCATGGTCGCAGATTCTACACAAAGCCGAGTTTTTACTAATTCGAGGCTTTTTCTACTTTTTCTTTTTTCACTTGATAGAGCTGCTTTTTGGTCGTGTTCTCGCAAGTGTTAGCGAAGCGCAGCTTCGCCTTGTGTTACACTTGCGAAGCCAGTGTATTAGCACGAACATTCCTTTTTCCAACCTAATTCGCAAATAAAAACGCTACTTTTGGTGGCACTTTTGAATCGGTAGGCTGCGGTGGCTGTATAATGTCATATGGGCTTTAACATTTGATAGGTAAAAAGTTAACTCAGTTGATCCCGCTTTAATTCATCACATGAACCGAAAAAACTTAATTGTTTCAAACGGTAGTACAATGATAAAAGGCTTGGTTTCAGAAATTTTCCAACTTAATGTATCTCGCAACTTTTTCGAAATGCACAATTTTTACATAATTTGGCTTTATGCTTTCCAATTTCCAGTTATAACTCCGGCCGACATTAGTTGTAATCAGGGGCGGATCTAGGATTTTCTCGAGGGGTGGGGGAGCGGAATTTCGAAAATGTTCGAAAGTTTAGTCGACCTTTTTTTTAGCTCGACCAAATTGATTTTGAAAAAACAGGTCAAAAAAGCGTTTTTAGGCACTGGAAATTTTTGACCAATAAAGCGCGTTTTTTTTCGGCGCGCGCTCCCCTCTGAAAATCAGTATGTTTTCAGGTTCGGTAACATTTTTCTGACAATCGTCCGTCTGTTTATTTTCGTCGGATTAGTTCCCATATCCCGACTTTTTTTCAGATTCGGCTTTTTCCCAAGTTTCTGTAACAACCATGCTTGAGACCAAAAAGTCCGGGAGTTTGATTCCAGTCAAGACCTGTTTTCTTTCGGAAACTGAAACGTTTCGTTTAATTTAGATTATTGCCGGTCTGCTCATTTTTGTAGGCTTAGTTTCGCTCAAAGAACTTTTTGATTAGTCGGCTTCATTCTATCATTACAAAAGCTCCTTGTATAGTTTTCATTGAAATAGGTATTTTGTGCTTTTTTTGCAAATTTATTTTTTCGCGGTTTGACTTTTGATTTCTTTACAAGTTCGGTTCATTTCCTTTGGTGAAAGGAACGCAAACTCCACTATTGAACAGCGAAAGTGTAAAGGTCACGAAAATTTTCATCGAATTTGCAATTTAGTAGCTAATGTAGATTGAGAATTAATGGCTAGTTTTTGGGGAATTCAAGCATCCCTGGTTAAGTGGTTATGCGTGAGACTAAACGTTGCATGGTCGCAGATTCTACACAAAGCCGAGTTTTTACTAATTCGAGGCTTTTTCTACTTTTTCTTTTTTCACTTGATAGAGCTGCTTTTTGGTCGTGTTCTCGCAAGTGTTAGCGAAGCGCAGCTTCGCCTTGTGTTACACTTGCGAAGCCAGTGTATTAGCACGAACATTCCTTTTTCCAACCTAATTCGCAAA